CACAGACTTTCCTATTTAACATGTCTTTGTTTTAGCTGATTAAAAAAAATTACTAAAGTAGGAATAAATGAACACAGTCATAGCTAGTGAAGCGACACAGAATACAAAGAGAAAAAAAGAAGATATAAAAAAATACTAAACGTTTTCCTCCCTGGCCCCCCAGTCTCGTCCCGGGTGCTCCCTTCCGTACCTCCTGCTTTTCCAAGTCAGCCGACTGAGGCTGTGTGACCTCGGGCAAGACACTTGTCCTGGCTGGATTCACCCGTGTCTCAGGAGCCTGTCGATTCCAGAAATTCCGAGGGGGGCGGTTAAAGGCTGGACTGTTCCATCTTGCTGCCTCGAGTCTGAGCAACTTGATAAATGCTCTGGGAGGATGGGTGATTGGGTCGTCGGGGGCCACCTGTGGCACACCTGGCTCTGTGTCGGCCCAGGTGGAGGGAGGTGGGTCATGGCCAGTCCCCTCGCACGAGCACTCGTGGGAGGCCCAGGGCAGGAGCCGCCTCCTGGGGGCCTCCAGGGAGAGGGGAGGGGCGTGTCCAAGATTGTGCAGCGGCCCGGGGAGGTGAGAAGGCGGCTCTGACACCCCCAATCTGCGTGGGGGTGTGAGGGCAGGGCTCGAGGACAGCATTCAGAGGAGGGACACTTGACCGGTGATCGGAAGGCTGAGAAGGGGGACAGGGACTGTTCAGCAGAAGAAGCGGAGTGTGGGCGGCCGGGAGGCAGGCTGACTGGGCTTTCCTGGGGCGAGGGGAAAGGGCGGGGTGTGCAGCAGGGGTGGGGCACCAGAGAGGCAGAAGCCCCTGGAACGCGGGGTCTTCCAGCCCACGCAGAAGCTGCCTGGCATGTTTGCGCTTGGCCCTGGCGCAGGCACCTGTGCTCGGGTCTCCAGGGCTTTGCCTCGGCCCATGAGGCCTGGGAGTCTGGTGCGAACTTGCCAAGGTGGGAGGGCCTGGCAAAGGCCGGGGCCGGGGGCCTGGGGCCGTGAACTGCATGGACCACTGGCCCATGAGGCAGTGAGTCCAGGAGCAGGGGTAGAGCGCTGTCCCTTCCCTTCCTTTGCCACCAGATGCACAGCCACCCAGGGGAGGGTGCCCAGACACACCTTGTTCTAGAGTGCAGACGGAAGGCAGAGCCTCTCCTGTCAGAACCATGGACAGGGCCGAAGGGGCTGTGGGTGCCCTGGGACGATAGCCAGGGAGTCAGGAGGTCTGGGTGGCTGCCTTCCCCGCACCACCTCCTGGCCTGTGGCCCCACTCCAGAATCATTGTGTGAAATGACCGTCACGCTCTCAGCCCTGCTTGGTGTGTAGCGCTGTCCCGAGGTTCCTAGAAGAGGAGGCAACGAACAGGGGACCACTTAAGCCAGGGCCCGCCTGCTGTGTCCCCAGCAGACATCGCTGATTCATCGGTCATTCCTTCCCGACAGGCCCAAGTTCATGCAGCACAGGCTCCTTTGCAACCTGGCCCTGCAGGGCACAGTCTTGGCCACCCCATCAGGCTGCCACCTGAGCAGGGTCCTGTTTGCTGCCCCCGTTGAGCCCGGAGGCCCTGGGGGCCGGTATGAGCGACATCATATTGTGCAGATGGACCATGTTTTGTCAACCCATCCGTCTGTTTTCCACGTGATTCTTAATGTGCGACCGAGATGGAGAACCGCTGGTATCTTCTCCTGGAGCCTGATCTTCAACTTGGAATGACAATATCTACTTTGCAAGGGCTTTAAATGGATGCTCTCCATGACATGCTCAGAGGGGGCGTGCACTGGGAAGCACACGGTGCCTGGGCTCTTTCGGGGAGCCCCCAGGGAGCGGAGAAAACAGCGCCCATTCTTTGAGCACTGCTGTGTGTCAGTGCTCCACCCATGTGGGCTTATCTCATGCCACCTGCAGGCGACGTAATATTATCTCCTTGACAAAGGAAGAAGCTGCAGCTCAGAGATGTACAGTAAGTTCCCATAGGTCACACGGCAGCTTGACCAGCTGTGCCTTGCTCAGGGGCCCGTACCTCTCCAGTTCAGGAGGGGAATTGACCTCTGTCCTTGCCTCCCTGCCAGCATCTGGCTCCGGGTCCCGGCTAAGTTTGGACCCCGCTGCGCAGAGTCGCCTTTTTACCCATCACATGTGGTGGCCACGTGGTCCCCTAATAAGCAAAGGCTGACCACAGGCGGGGATTCTGTTCTCCAGAGAGGGGCAGAAAAGCCCGTGTCCCTCCCCACGTTTGACCAGCCGTGGCCTGCCGGAAATGTCCACTTGGCCAGGGGACATTTCCCACACCCTTGAGGGCTGCCTACCTGGCCGCCAGCTCTGTGGTCGTACGTTCTAAGTTTTATCTGTGGTGAAAAGGACCCCATTGTCCCTCCGCAGGGGAAGGGACACACAGGCCTCACACATCCGCCCAGTGGACTGTTCTCACGATGGAAAGGAAGGCCCCACAGATAGAACTCGGTGAATCTCACAGGCAGGGAGCTGTGCACAAGAAGGCAAAGGCAGAAAGCTGCAAGGAAAAAAGGAAAAAAAAAGAGAATGGAAAGGCAGAGAATCATTGCTGGATCTAGCCCCGCTGCACTGAGGAAGGTCGTCTTCTTGTTGTGCAGAAACAAGTGTGTTTTCAACAGGATCCGAGTAGACAAGTGAGAACGTCCCCTTGTGGTGGTCAAGACAGAGTTTCCTTTCGTGTGAGCGTGCGTTTGGCCTGCACATAAGACATTCTCTTTAGACGGCAAAAAAACAGGCTTGGGGCTCCTGCAAGGCTCTGTTCACTAAGTGACCTTCTGGAGGAAGCAGGGCTGTGGGGACGGAGAACAGAGCTGCGGTGACTGGGGCTGCGGGGGGCCTGGGGCCAGGGGACCCGTGGAGGTGTGTGTGTGTGTGTGTGTGTGGGGGGGGAAGATCTGCCATTTGTCTTTGCTGCGGTGACGGTTCCATGACTCTGTATGTTTAGCAAAACTCATAGTTATAGCAGGAAAAGAAGACGTTTACTTACGTGAATTAAAAGGAAGCGAAAACACAAATTGATTCACTGTCCTTTTAAAATGCTGCTCAGAGGTTCACGGAGAAGGAACTGGGCTGCAGGCCATGCAAGTGAAGTGCTCGGTTCTCGCAGGCTGTGGGAACTGGGTTTCTTGGGTGTTTGCCCCGGCCCCGGGCCCTGTCCCCTCACAATCCCCCCCCTGCTGGCTTTCCCTTGCCTGCCTTTGTCACTGCTGGACATTCAATACCTGCCACTGCCCTGGGGGGGGGGACAAGGAAAGTTTTGTGGAGGCCAGAATATATGAATAAGTGCCCATTCTGGGTCGCCACGGCAACCGTGACATCACCCTCGAACCTGAGTGGCTGGCACCATGGGTGGCTTTCATGGCATTTGTTAAAGGGCCAGCAAGAGAGGAGACAGCCAGGTCATGCCTGGTAATTCCTGAGACCCAGCTCCCACCCAGGAGAAGGGCCCTAGTCTGTCCCCCCAGCCTGCGGAGCGAGTGCAAGTTGGCACAGTGCCCTGGGGGCTTCCGGGCAGAGTGGACCCAAACGAACCCTGTGTGCCCCTGGGTCAGTGTCTCCAGGGCTGCGGTGACAAGTGGCCACACACACGTAGTGGTTTAAAGCCACAGAAAGCGATCCTCTCACTGTCTGGAGGCCAGGAGATGTCGGTGCTGGCAGGGTGGGTTTCTTCTGAGGCTCAGAGGGAGCGTCTCCTCGGACCCCTCCTGGCCCTGGCAGCGGCTGGCCTCCCCTGCTCTCCCTTGGCTTGGGGACGAATCTCCACCTCCACTGGCACATGGTCTCCCTGCTCTGCGTCTCCTCTCCTCTTATGCAGACCCCAGTCCTACTGGACCGGGGCCCACCCCCTGCAGTGAGACCTCGATGTCGTGAATCTCACCTCTGGGAACAATTCTGTTTCCACACCCGGTCGCACGCTCGGGTTCTGGGGGTTTGGGTTCCGATGTAAGAATCTTAGCGGACACAACCCAACCAGCACCTGTTTTTGCTGTCGATACATAGTATTGAGTGAGGCAGCCGGGATCACCGATCACCGCCAGCTTCCTCCGGGACCACTTGTGGAGAGGGTGGGCTGACGGGCAGATTGTTTTGGTTGCCAGGGGAGGCTGTGTTTCCATTGGCCTCCCACTTCCAGGGGTGGGCCCTCCACTTTCTCTGTGACTGTAAGCCCGGCATTTACGCTGCCTCCGCACGGTATGTGGGAAGCAGCACTGCTGCATGTCCTTCCTCCGGACTCCAAGAGAACCCAGCACATGGTGGGTGCTCAGCATACGTTCCTCAGGGGGCGCAGACACGCTCAGCAAACTTTCCATCAACTGTACTAACATGACACCAGCATACAGAAGGTGCTTAATGAATGCTCTGTGCATGGCCCTGCATGGACCCAGCATACAGAAGGTGCTCAATGAATGCTCTGTGCATGGCCCTGCATGGACCCAGCATACAGAAGGTGCTCAATAAATGCTCTGTGCAGTGTACCGCTTGGAGCCCTGTGTTCTGAGCCCTGTGCTCATTGTTCATTTTTGTGGATCTTCATAGTAATAATTGGGACCTTGGAGGGGAAATTTTTGGTGTTTCAGTTTCCACTGAAAGGAAGTTCGAGGACCTTGAAACCATGATGACAGGGTGAGGGGGGCTGGTTTCCTTGGGGGAAGGTTCCCCCTGGGAAGGGCGGAAGGGTGAGGGGTGGCGTCTCCTGGGTCCAGTGTGCACATGTGGAAACCCGTCCAGCTGCGCCCCCTGGGGAGCGGCAGGCACCGCATGCCAGTTGCAGTGAAGAAAACAAGAATAGGAAACAAGGAGAGTGCGGCAGCCCCCCCATGTTTAGCAAAGTGCACCGGGGGATCAGGCGGAAAAGACTGGCGAGTCCAAAAAAATGTAATAGAGTGAGAGGGGGAGGGGGGTGGGGAGGGGGTGGGCGGGGAGCAGGATCCCTGTCTTCCCTTCCCAGGGGCCAGGTGTCTAGGCCTCCTGACCCAGCGCCCAGGAAGGGTGCCTCTCCTTCCAGGTTCATGAACCACCGGGTCCCCGCGCACAAGAGGTACCAGCCTACGGAGTACGAACATGCGGCCAACTGTGCCACCCACGCCGTGAGTCCACTCCTGGGGGCTGAGAGCTGTTGCGGGGGGCACATGCAGGTCAAGGTGGGGGGCGGTAGCCTCTTCGCTGGGAGAGTGAGCGGTGGCTCTGAGCGTACCACTCTGCCCTGGGGACGGCTCGGACTTTCCAGGGAGAATGACAGTGGAAGCCAGATTTGAAGAATGAGGGGTTTGCCCTGCAGACAAGGTGGGGGTGTTTTCTTCAGAGGGACCGCATGTGTAGCAGTGTAGAGGCCGGAGGCAGCGCGCTGTGCCCGGGGACCTCCAGGCCAGGGTCTCCGGGGACACGGAGTGCAGGGCAGCGGCCAGACTTGCTCCTTGAAGCGGGGAGTCTTGGCTGTCTGCTTCTTTTGATCCACGCTGCTCGGTATGGCAGCCCCCGGCCTCATGTGGCCGTTGACACTGACACTGAAGTCAATTCAAACGGAATAAAAATTCCTTCCTTAGTGGCACAAAGCACATTTCAAGTGCTCAGTAGCCATACGTGCTCGGTGGCTCCCTAATGGGACAGCGCAGGTTGTAAGGACAGTCCCACCGAGGCGGGTTGACCGGTGCGGGGCCGGAGTTGGGGAGGGCTCTGCCCGGCCCTGGACCCTGAGCCGGCCCCGCCCCCTTCAGCTCTGGATCGTCCCCAGCATCCTGGGCAGCTCCAACCTCTACCTCCTGTCGGACGACAGCTGGGAGACCATTTCTGCCTGGATTTACGGCCTCGGCCTCTGCGGGCTCTTCGTGGTGTCCACTGTGTTCCACACGGTCGCCTGGAAGAAGAGCCACCTCAGGTACCCGCTGCCTGGCCCTCGGGGGTTGGGCCTGTGGCACGTCCTCGGGGGACCAGGCCCAAGGGATGCAGAGTGTGACACGAGCGTGCCCAGCACTTCCTGTCCTGCACCAGCTGGGCTCGAACTCCCTCACAGCAGCCCGGGTGAGTCTGGGTGACAGCCTCCCTGTTTACAGCAGAGGGGACAGAGCCCAGAGAGGGGCGCGGACTGGGTCCAGGCCGTCGTCCCTTTACCTGGCCCAGCTGGGGCTGGATTCGAATGCAGGCCTCCTGGCTCCAGAGCCTGGACATGGAACCACAATGCCAGACTCCAGAGGGCTTTTTTGGGGGGGGGGCACAGTTTGATAGTTTTTGCCCTTTACGTCGGCCACAGAATTTTCTCATCATTTGAAATCTGCTGAGAAGCCCAGTATCTGAACTAGAAATGCAGGGGAAGGAGAGGAGGTTCCTCGGTGGGACCCCCGGGCGTCTCTCTTTAGCCCTCGGGGGGCAGGGAGCCTGGTTTGAAAGCCACAGCTCTGGTCACTCAGAGACGGGGAGGCTGAGGCCCCAGGGCGGTGGCTGGATGGAGGGGGCCGGGGCCACCGCGGCTGGCCGCGTGACGCCAGCCCTCTGCCCCAGGACGGTGGAGCACTGCCTGCACATGTGTGACCGGATGGCCATCTACTTCTTCATAGCGGCCTCCTACGCGCCCTGGTGAGTGCCCCGCGGCCCCACGCCCGGCCGGCCGCCTCCTTTCTCTCCCTTGTTCAAACGCTGACTCCGCCCGGAAGAGCGAAGGTCAGGGGCCGCCTTCACCTGGTGCTCAGCGCCACTTTCTCACGCTCTTCCAGAGTTATTTTGTGTGTGAGAGCGAGTGCTCGGAAGCACGTACGTATGGGAACACCTCTGTGCACAGGGCACGCACGCCCGCGCACACGCGCACACTTACAGTGAGTGTGTATGCACCACTTTTCTCCCCCCTCACTACAACGGGAAGGGGGCCTTTTGCTCTGTCCTCCTAGTGACGCAGCTGGGACATCTGTCCACGTTAGCACGTCGGAGATTCTTCATTCCTGTTGACAGTGGCGGAATGCTCTCTGGCCACGCCGTGTCTGCGGGTGTGGGTGGCGTCCAGAGACCCCACTCCTCCGCCACTGTAAGGAGAGCCATTCTTACTTGCCTGCGTGTGTGGGTCCCTGGGCCGGAATCCGACGAGATGTCTGAGAGGCGACCTGTGTGACCTGCAGGGACAGCAGCTTCGGACGGTCGAGGCTGATCTTTGTGGGATAAATTCCGAGACCTCCGTACACTTCTGGGAGGCGGGGAGTGGGGCTCAGCGATGTGGTGAACGGTTTCGCCAGGTCACCCTCCACAGATGGTACCAGGTTAAATCCCCTAGCAAGTCACTCAGGGTTATTGAAAGTTCAGGAATAAGGAACTGCCAAGCTTCAGGTCACACGCTGAGGGCCTGGGAGCCTCCCGCAGGGGAGAAGGACCTTCCCGCCATTGACCGTGCTCCCTGTGGCCGGGCAGTGCTGGGGGTCAGCACACAGAGGTTCTGTCGGTGGACGCAGGTCTGTGACAGGCCAGTGAAGGCGTGGAGAGGCGGGCCTGTGTGCGGAGCTCACAGGGCACAGCCCTGGCGTGGGGGCCTCGGGAGGGCTGCCTGGAGGGGGTGTCCCTCTGAGGGGTGGGGAGCCACAGAAAGGTTGGCTCCACGTTTGCCCAGGGAATCTCTATTTTTGGCTGTCCTAAACAGCCAAAAAAAATAAATTTAATTATTTAAATGTTTAAAGAAATTTTATTTACTTATTTTTAGAGAGAGGGGAAAGGAGGAAGGGAGGGAGAGAGACATCAACGTGTGGTTGCCTCTCATGCGCCCCCTACTGGGGACCTGGCCCACAACCCAGTCATGTGCCCTGACTGGGAATGGAACTGGCGACCCTTTGGTTTGCAGGCTGGCACTCAATCCACTGAGCCACACCAGCCAGGGTCAAATTTATTTTTAGTTGTATTTTTTTCCATTACCAGTTTGAAGGTGATTGTTTTTAAACACATTTTATGTGGGTGTGCCTTCCCTGGAGAACATGGGACCACGATCGTACATCTCAGCGACATTTCACACCCTGCAGCTAGCACCCAGATGGGGACACAAAGCAGCCCCCTCGTGCCCTGTGTCCCCTTCTCCAGTCACCATCACTTCCCCAAGGGTGACCACAGTCCTGACACCTGTCTTCACATAGTGGTTTTGCCAGACTTTGAACTTCGTAGTAACGGAGTCATCCTTGTTTCAGATGTTGCTGCTTTCGCGCGGTGTCTGGTGAGGCTCATGGAGCTGCGTTGCAGGAGCTGGTAGTGGCCTTGGGAGCAGGGAGGTGTGGAGGAGGCTGGACAAGGGCCCAGGAGAGACGTGGTGGGGACCTGACCCCCAGTAGTGGGCACAGAGGTTGACAGGAGAGGAAGGACGAGTGGAAAGATATTTCTGGAAACCGAGTAGACCCTGCTGACTGACCGAAGGTGGGGGAGAGGGACAAGGAGGGAACAGCAGGGGTCCCGGGAAGTGTCGACCTTGACCAGGAAATTAATGACTCTGAGGAGTGCTGGGAAGTCGGTCCTGCTGACTGTCTGTCTGTCTGTCTGTCTGGAGGCATCATCCGACTGGCCTGGCCTGGGCTTCAGGAGGGCAAGACTTGCTTCTCTCCTGACAATCCTCATGCTTCAGGTAGTCAGGTGCCAGGTAGGCAGGCAGACGGAGACTTCTGGAAGTCTAAACGGTCTTAGGGGAGGGGTGCAGCTTGGGTGGGTGCGCGGGAGGCCCTGGAGCGTGCCGAGAGCAGAGGTGAGAAGCGGAGGCCACCGGAGGGGCTCGGTCCACTGGCCACTCCTCCATGGCCCGAGCTCACGAGGGAGCACCTGCAGGTGCCAGGAGCCAGGTAACCTCGGGGCTGTTTTTGGATGTTGATGAGAGGAGTCAAGCTGGGTTTTGTGCTCCACTGCAGCGACAGTGACATAGATTTCTAGAGTAATCCTCACTATCCTCTCCTTTGCTGATTTAATAATGCCTGGGTTTCTGTTCTTGATTCCTGGCTGTGGCCACGGAGCTGTGTTGCCCTCTGCTGGTGGCCAAGGATATGGCCGTAACTCCTTCTGGGACTTAGGGTCTCACAGCCAACGCGGATACAAGGCCAAGGTGGGGACAAGTGTCTGGTGTGTGACTTGCTCAGGAGAACGACTCAGAAGAACTTGGGACTGACTGGATGGGGGGGGGTGAGAGAGAGAGACTGAGGGGCTCTGTGGGGACCGGCTTCCTGGTTGAACACCTGGGGGCATGGTGCAACGGGGACAGACAGGCGGTGTAGAATTATTTTTTGTTGTATTGCTCTGGTTTTTCAGCTGTTTTCTGCAGAGCCCTGGAGGGTCCTGGGGACCACCGAGGGGGTGGGGGCATCTGGGCTCCCTTGTCTCTTCCTCAATCAGAAAACCCCATTTTTTGTTTTTATTTTCATTGTTGACAGATCGGACTTACACAGAAGCTTCGTGCGTAGCGTCTTGACTTATAAGAAAGGGTGCTGTCGCAAGAGCTTGGCCTGTGTGGGCATGAAATGGCATGGCCCTGGCTGGACCCTGGAGCCGGACTGGCGGGGTCACGGGCTGTGCACACGTCTAGGCCCCAACGGGCTCCCCATTCAGACGCCTGCTGGCCCCACGTGCCCTCCCCCTTTGCGCTGGGACACCCGTTTGGCTAATTTTCCTCTAATAATTGCTCCTTGTGTCACTTTCACTTATTGCCTCTGCACCTGTCTTCCCACGGGAGCCCGCGTTGCGCACGGCGGCCACTGCTGACGGATCTGCTCTGGGGTCAGCTTCCGGGGGACGGGCCCACCCTGCAGGGCGAGGCCCCGTGTCCCCTCAGACTGTGCCCTCGGCTCTCCCCAGGCTGAACCTTCGGGAGCTGGGCCCCTGGGCCTCCCACATGCGCTGGCTGGTCTGGATCATGGCCTCTGTGGGCACCGTGTATGTCTTCTTCTTCCATGAGAGGTAAGACGGCGGGGAGGCTCAGGCAGCGGGCAGCCCTCGGCAGGACAGGAGACCCCAGGTGACCCTGCAGGCATGAGGGCATGGCTCTGCCGGGTGTCCCAGTGGACAGCCACCAGGGCCACAGTCCACAGGGTCAATTTGAAGAGTTTTTTTTTTTTACAAGGCACTGCAGATTCCTGGGCCCAGGGAAGAACAGTGTTGAGAGTGACCTGCCTTCCGTAAGCTGTGCCGGCAGGCATGGAGGAGCGAGCGGCTCTGAGCCCTCTGGACTCCCCTTACTTCCATCCTGCCCAGTGGCATGACGGGAATGACTAAGTGGGGGCACGAACAGGGCTGTAGAGGTGACGAAAGCAGTGACAGACTCCTGGGCCTCCAGGGAGGCAGTAGGTGTCAGCTGATGCAGCTGCTCGGGTCCCTGGAGCGGGGGGGGGGGTGGGGGGGGGGGGGGGGGGCGAGGTCCTGCGGGCGAGCATGCCGGGATTGGATCGTTGTGTCTGCCCTGGCTTGAGCGCGGGGGGTGCCCACATGCTTGCTGTGACCGCATTTCCAGTCCTCGAGTATCATTTCACGGATGTGGAAGCCGAGTCTCAGAGAGGGAAGGAGACCTGCCCAGGGTCGTCCAGTCCTGCCAGCAGCTGCTGGGTATAGTCAGGTGACAACTCAGCCCAGGGGGTGCTCTCACGCTTGCGGTCAGGGTGTCTCCTCCTGCCCAGGCCTGGGGGCTGTCCCGAGGCTGAGGGGGCTTCTCTCCCCCCGAGGTACAAGCTTGTGGAGCTGCTGTGCTACGTCATCATGGGCTTCTTCCCCGCCCTGGTCATCCTCTCAATGGTAAGTCCTGCCCGCGCGGCTGGGGCCTCACCTCTGCCCGACTCTCCAGATTGTCAAGTACAGCCCTCTCCTCTGAGAGAAGGGGAACTGAGGCCCCGTGTGTCCGTGTGACTCGCCTGAGGAGGCAGTAGAATAGGCAGGTGGCCCCCGAGGGCCTCGCCTCCCTGAGCCTCAGTTGGCCCATCTGTCAAATGGACGCAGTAACTCAGGCACCAAGGGTGCTTGCTCATCAAGGGCGCCTTCTTTTTGCTTACTTTTTTTTTGGTTCATTTTCTCTAAAACTTTCTGCCGTGCGCATGTATGCCTTTTCAAAAATTATGATTAAAATAGACACACGTTTATGATTTCAGCCATCTTTAAGGGTCCAGTGCAGCAGCACTTGGCACACTCACACTGTCATGCAGCTGTCCCCACCCTCGGCTCCAGAACATTCTCACCTTCCCAACTGAGACTCTGTCCCCGAGACACACTCACTACCCCCCCACCCCCCGCCAGCCCCTGGGAACCTCCGTTCTACTTTCCTGCTGTGTGAATTGGGTTCCTCTCAGGACTGCGTACGAGTGGATCACGCAGTGCTGGTCCTTTGGTGACTGATTACTTCACTGAGCAGTGTCCTCAAGACTCCTCATCTTCTTCCTCTAACGCTGAGTAATGTTCTGTTGCCTGAAATGAGGGGATGAAATCCATTCGTCTCTCTGTGGCCCTGGGGCCACTTCCACCGTGGGCGGTCTTAAGCCTGAATCTAGGATTCATTTCACTCCCTGCTTTTGCTTCTTTGGGGTTTTACTTTTTAGAAGAGATAAAAAGCTATAAAACATTCCATAAGAGTTTGATGGAAACCCGTTCCACCTGAGAATCGACTCGGGGAGGTGGGACGACTCCACGGGGTTGAGATGCCCCCACCCAGGACCCCGGGCTGGCTTTTTGTGGGGGGTGGGGGTGGGGCGGGGGCCAGGAGCTCCCCACCTTGCTGCCTGCTCCTCTGACCTGTGCCCCACCCTGTCCTTGCCAACAGCCCAACACCGAGGGCATCTGGGAGCTGGTGGCTGGAGGGGCCTTCTATGGCCTGGGCACCGTGTTCTTCAAGAGCGACGGGAGGATCCCCTTCGCTCACGCCATCTGGCATCTCTTTGTGGCATTTGGTGCTGGTACCCACTACTACGCCATCTGGAGGTACCTCTATCTGCCCAGCACCCTGCAGGCCAAGGTGTCCAAGTGAGGTGGCCCAGACTGCATGGGACACTTGGGCTGTTGGAGCAGAGCATCATGGGAAGTGTTTTTGCAAACTTTAGCCCAGAGTGCAGGGCCCAGGCCCATCTGCCCTCCCCTGGGAGAGCTTTGGATGGGTCCGAGGTTACTTCTAGTGACAGCCGTGCCGTCCCTTGGGTCCTTGGTGAGAAAGACAGCATTTAGTCATGGCTGCAGAGGAGAAATTTACCCTGTAATGCATTTATATTCTTGACAGTGTCTCCTAATACAATGGACATTAACATTGTCAGAAAAGGGTACCGACGTTGCCCTGTAAATTGGGCAAGGATGGGCCAGTATATGCTTCTCATGGTCCTGAGAAATCGAGCAAGGGGTCTGGTGGGTTGTTTCTATCAGGTGTCCAGGGCCTCCTTCTCTGCTACCAAAGTCCCAGCTGGGGAATGTCCCCCTGTTCAGGGAAAATCACCCAGTTTGTAGACCAGGGATGGTGGAGATCTGTGACCGTGGCAGACATCACCAATCAACTGCAGCATGGGTGGTGTCAGAATTCTCAGCCTGGTGCTCTGGGCAGACATGACTAATCAACTCGGTACTCCAATGGCACCACTTTGCCTCACCTACTGGTATGCCCTGTGGTCAGAACATGCCCAGGCCAGGTTAATGTCCCCGTGTGTGGGAGTGTTTACTTTCACTCTCTCTTGTTCCTTTTTGGAAGCTCCTGGAGTGGGTAGCGTGGAGGCCATGGTGCACACCCTGAGCAGCCCCTGACCAGCTGTGGTCCTTGGTCCAGAGGAGGGAGCAGTTGGGAATGAGGAGCTATTCCTTGGACATTTCTTCTCATGCCAAAAATATCCAGGGAAACTCCGAGAGGCCCTCATGCGAGGGGCAAGTGCATCCCGGAGCTCACTTGCCTGCCCCAGACCCAGGGTTTGTGATGCTGTTACTCACACTTGTGCTCAGTGCCCGTGAGTGGCCCTGTGGGAGGGAGGCCTCGCTCATCTGATGGGACCTGGGTGAGCGTCTGTGATGCCCCCACCTCTGGAGCCCCTTGAAGCCCCACCACAGGCCTGAGCGGAGCCAGCCCTCTGTGCGCGGCACACGGGCAAGCCCTGGGGAGGCCCAGGCCCAGCGCCAGGTCTGAACCGGAACCGCAGTCCCCCCAGATTGAGGATCTGTGTCAGATGAGCCTCGGGCTACAGCTCCCAGTGAGAGCCAGGCGGGCAAACACGGGATGCCTTATGCCTAGTTCTAGTACATTCCAGGGCATTCGGTGCTGCGGCCTCTGAATCCCATGCGTCCAGCCAGTATTAAATCACCTGATCTGGTCCACAGACAGGAGGGTCCTGAGTGGGCAGAGGCCTGGGGGATAAGCTTTGTCTTCTTACTCATGTGTGTGCGCGCGTGTGAGTACATGTGTGTTTACATGCGTGTGTGCATACATGCAGCCACACTGGCACACTCAGCCCCTGGAAGCTGCCTTCGTTCTGTACACCCGCCATGCAGTGCTCACCAAGTATTTCCCATCAGTGGGGTCGAGGTTGGAGATCGGGGAGGGAAAGCTGGGGGGTGGCAGGCCGGGGCAGGGACACTGTGACTCAACCTCTGGGCCTCAGGCCCGCGTGGTGGTGGTCCCCGGGATGATGTTTAGGAGACCTCCCAAGGCATGGCACCGTGTCAGGCTGAGCTGACAGTCCCGCCACCTGCATTCTGAGGGGGACCACAGTCCAGTGCTTGGGACACTGACCTGGGACTATCCTGGTGGCCACTACTGAGATGCTCTTCTGGTACCTGCATTCCTTGTGCCCCCTCTTCTGGGCCTCTGATCTGGCATTTTCCCCGAGCTCCCCCTTTATGCCCCAGAACCTTTTGAGAAGGGGCTGGTTTGCCCCCTCCTCCACTCAACCCCTGCTCACCCTTCAATGCCCTGCTCAGGAGCCTTCCGGGATGCGCGCTGGGCGTGTGGGGTGGAGAGGGCGTGGCGCTGGAGGTTCAGACACCGCCCAGAGTCTCAGAGAGACTCTTGCTGTCGGTCCTGAGGCTGTCACATGCTAGGGTGCTCCGACAAAGTGGCTGTCCCACCCCTAGGAAGCAGGGTGGGGGGTGGGGCAGCTGGCAGCAGACTGGCCTGTGTGACACTCTGGGCACTTGGGCAACTGCTCCTGAGGTTGGTGGGGCAGCATGGGAGGTAGCTCCGGAGGAAGAAACTCAGAGCTTCCTCGGATCTGCCTGCTCAGGGCCTGGCCCCCTGACGAGTGTGAGGGCAGCTTTCCCGGTCTCTGGGCTTGGTGACAGCCCTGTGCTCCAGGGGCGGGGGGGGCCGCATGGTCCCAGGATGTTGGGTGCCCTTTGGGTTGGGATGCGTATGGGCATCTGCTCAGGCTGGCCTGGAGGGCAGGAGGGGCAGAGCGGATCCATTTGTAAAAGAAGTGGCCCCGGTTTGGGGGTGCGGCTCTGCCTCTGTGTGAAATTCCAGGTTCCAGCTTCCGCGTCTGCACGAGTGGCTGCCCGTCCTGCTCCCCCCGGCCAGGTGTCCCAGGGTCCACCCGAGTCATGCAGGGGCAGCCTCCTGCTGCCCGGGAAGGCCTTCCCTGGGGGACACAGGGGCTCTCATCGTCTTTGATACTCATTTTTATAGACCTGTCATGTCTCCGGTGCTTGACAATGGCATTGGTGGCGTGACTTTTCAGAAGTGTCCTGCTGGCATTGGACCTTTCCTGTGTTTGTGAGATTGCTATTTTGTACTATTAACACAGTATTTGACAAACATTTGTACGAAGAATAATCCTGCCAGTAGATGGCACTGTCTCTGCTGGGGTAGAAAGAACTTCAATAAACAAAACTTCGAGAGGCCTCACTCTTGCCCAGTTGTCTTCTTAACAACAACCGTTGTCAATTCTCTTCCCTGAAGCCAATCTCTCTGTTCATTGTAGAAAACCTGGGCTATCTCGAAAAGCACACGTAAGTGAACTGCGCTGGGGGTAGCTGTGTAAGAAATGACTCTAAACCACGGGGCGTCACCCAGCACCCAATGCCGCTCTTGGCTTCTGACCGTCAGGAATTTGGAGTCCGGGTCCTCTGCCGGAGGACTGAAGGGTCATGTGCTTATGGGTTTGGGGGCAGACGCTGGCAGCTGGCTCACACCCTTGCTGGTGAAGCTGGCCAAATACTCTTTTAAAATGTAGATTTTAGCCCTGGCTGCTGTGGGTCAGTGGATTAAGTGCGGGCCTGCAAACCAAAGGGTCACCAGTTTGATTCCCAGTCAGGGCACATGCCTGGGTTGTGGGCCAGGTCCCCAGTAGGGGGCGTGTGAGAGGCAAACACACATTGATGTTTCTCTCCCTTTCTTTCCTCCTTCCTTTCTCTAAAAATAAATAAATAAAATCTTTTTAAAAATGTAGATTTTTTTACTATTCAGGCTGACTTCTGGTATGACAGGGCCCACAACTCAGCCAACAAGAAGTGACACAGGATGTCACATGGGGCCACTGGCTGGGGGAGGCAGAGGGAGCCAGGGGAATTTGTGGACAAGCACGTTATTGCATTTGCTGATGGAAGGAAGAGGTGAGGCACAGTGAGCAGGCGTAGGGCTGGCTGGTTTGGGCAACGTCAAGGTCTCGGGGGTCCAGGCGCTGTTTCTAGTTTTGTGCTACTTGGTCCTGGGGCAATGAGGGCAGGGGCGAGTGGCCTGGAGTATAAGAGCCCCCGATAGAGAAGCTGGGGGGCTGGTCTCCAGATTGGTAGGCATGCATGTGAAAGGCGAGCTCGTAGGCGAATTGTTTACATCTCTAGGGACTGGCTGAGCCTGGGAGGGGCCGTCTCTCTATGCTCAGTCAGGCCACAAGTGACTTCCACATGTGGCCTGGGCTTTCTTACAGCAGGGTGGCCGGGTCCCAAGAGAAAGAGAGCTCCAGGCAGATGCGGAAGATGTGAGTCATCCCTTCTGCCACATTCTGATGTTCAGTACAGCTAAGGAGGTCTCCCAAGGTCAAGGGGAGGAGACGCAGACCTCCCCCCACTATCAGAGGAAGGCGCGTGGAACGCGCCAGAAGAGCCAGGAACGGAATGAAGATCAAGATGGATATCTTTGCAAAGTGGAATCTCCCGCAATCCCCACCCTCGAGAAATAATCACTCAGCATTCCCTGCCTATGTTGCTCACATACCTTTGGAATGTGATTTTGCAAAAGCAAGGTGATCTGTCACCGATGAAATGTTGTGACCTCAGACAAGTCCTTCAGCCGTTCTTGGCTCAAGTTACCTTGGGGGCTCCCATACATTTCTTTTCTCAAAAACTGGAAGGAAGGTATCCAGCTGGACTGAGCTCTTTCACCCCAACTTTGAAAAGCAGACATCCACTCCCAATTCTCCATTTAAGAGACAGTTAATACATTGAGTTTTCTCACCGTTCGTTATTTTTCTCATACCTCAGCATCATCAGCCGAGTGGTATCACCTAATGCTCCCAGGCAACTCATCAAGCGCACACCGACATGGGGGGCATTCGTGAATGCACGAGGCCCAGCCCAGCATGTCTGGCTCTTTGGCAGCATGCGTGCCCATGTATGTGGGTGTGTGTCATGGCCGTCATGCATGTTCGCATTTTGGGCTAGTGGCATTGATCCCAGCTCCTGTGCGGGTTGGAATACAACTCGTCAACATGTCTCTGGTCCCGAGAGCACTGGAATTTCCACACAGATGGTCCAATGACCGCCGCAGGGGGTGATTTCTTGTTTCACCCAGCTTAAATTGTTTTCCTTCCTACTGAATGTATTGGGGCAACCCTGGTTAGCAAAACCATACAGGTTTCAGGTGCTCAATTCCATACCATATCACCTGTCCCAGGCATTGTGCGTTCACCACCCCAAGTCAAGTCTTCTTTTATCACCTGTTACCCCCCACACCCTCCAGCGCCTCTCCCCAACCCTGCCTGCTGGAAGCCTAAAATTTTTGACAGTTACACGAACGTAGTTCAAATTTCTTTAGAACACATCAAACAGTCAAGAGTGAAGCAATCTGACGTGACCTATTTGAATGGCGTTAACACCTTGGTCCCTTTGTTTATATCAGTTAACACGGCCACTGCCCCGGCCCCATTCCCTAGCTATGTTAGAGTGACTTGGAATCCGTTTCTTCCCGTTAGGTGTCCCTCCTGAGCTGCCAGGCCCCTGTCACGCACCGCCCACTGGTTGCCTGCAGTTGAATATACAGGTAAACCTCACACCGACTTACATCCAGCGTCATCACTGCCGCCCGGCTGGTCTTACGCTGGCACCCCACCCAGGTACTAAATTGTTGACTGGAAGTTCCTCAGGGTATGACGTGGGAAGAAAAATAATGATTGCTGTTTTCGGCTGACGAGCCTACTGGGAACGGCAGAACCCAGAGCACTGCTATTTATAGGTCTGGGGGCTGGGGATGGAATCCGAGGGTAAAATCACTTGTCTTGCCGGCCCCTCTAGTGATGCGGACAAAACGGTCTCTGAAAGAAAGGCTGGGGCCTACAGCCTTTTCTGTCTCTGTGCCTGCGGCCCCCCACCCTTCCTCTCTTCTGGTCCGCAATGTCCTGTCTCCCTGTCTGTGGACCTGCCATCCTTGGGAACTTAAACTTTGACTTCTTCGGGTTCATTTGGGCCTTTTCAGGGAAAGAGTCCCAGGACCCTGCCGCCCTCTGGTGGCCACCGAGGGCAGCTCAACACTTCATTTTTGTCCAGTGAATGTGCAAAGCTATTCAACCCTGGAGTTCAAAGATGTGTTTTGCTCACCTGTCCAAGAGCCCGGTGTTGGATACAAGAATGAATAAAAGTCAGGTCTTGCCCCATGAGCCGCTTCCAGTTGAGGGAGAGGGGGAGAGGGGCAGAAACCTGTTCATTCCTTTGTTTACTCCTTTAACAGATATTTACTGAGCACCTACTTTTATGGGGCATGAATCCTAGTGTATGTTAAATGCACAAATGGTGACAAAGAGGTAATGAGGTAGAGAGCGGCCACAGGGGTGGCTGTCCAGACAACGGGCAGGAGGCAGCAGTGGAGAGGGGTGTTGCGCAGCGGGTGGTGCCAGTAGGCAAACACCACAGGGCAAGTGTTTTAGGGAAAGTAGACAGCAAGGAGAGCTGCTTCGGAGGAGGGGATGGGCTGAGTGTTTGAGAGCAGAGTCTGGGGCTGCAGCTCCAGGGCAGAGAGCAGCTGGGCAGTCATGGGGGCCTGGGAAGCCACATTTTCTACAGTTTAGCTCCAGGAGTCACACTGCCATTGTGATGGCATCTTATTGGCTACACCGTCCAGCCCCACTTAACAAGGCAAGGGACCCCACAGGGGTGTGAGAACCAGAAGGTTTGACTCCTGGGGACCATCTTGGAAGCTGGCTACCATATAAGTAACAATTAATCTGAATCTTAATGAGTAGAAATCGGCCAGGTGATAAAGTTGGTGTGATGGGCTGAACTGCGTCTACCCCAAATCTGCACATTGAGGTCCTAACCCCCAATAACTCAGGATGCCACTGTGCCTGGAGATGGGGCTTTGAAAGAAGGATTACGTTAGACTGAGGTCATTCGGGCGGGTGCTGATCCAACATAATCAGTGTCCTTGTAAGAAGAAGAGATTAGGACACAGAGGGACAACCCGGTGAGGACACAGGGAAAACACAGCTGTCTACAAGCCAAGGAGAGAAACTGACCCTGCTGGCTGGCACCTCGATCCTCAACTTCTAGCCTCCAAGAGTCTTTGGTCAAGTCCGGTTGCCAAAGCCCCCGGTGTGTGATATTTCCTTATGGCAGCTGGAGCTGACCGACGCAGCTGGGAAAGGAGTTTCAAGGCCGAGAGAACGGCCTGAGCAAAGGTGCAGAGGAGTGAGGCTGTGGGGCAACACCAGAGAGGTGGCGGGACTAGATCCTAAAGGTTGGGGTGGTGGGGAGTGGGGGAAGCAAACGCTTTCTGTAAAGGGACAGGTAGCAAATTAACCTCTGTGGGCCTGGAGGTTCTGTTGCAAGAAAACAGTTGTAGGCGAAATGGAAACAAATGCACATAGCTGTGCTCCAATAAAACTTTATTTATAAAAACAGCAGTTCAGGTTTGGTCCACAGGTCATAGTTTGCCAACCCTTGCTTAAGAGGGGTGTGTGTGTGGGGGAAGGGCTGATGAGCCTGAATCAGGCTGAGAAATATTATACCTCACAAGGAAAACCCAGACCTCTGCCGTCCCCCTGATATTTGCTTATGCAGGGTCTGGGTGACGGGCGGTTGGGTATGGATATGGGGAGCCCCATAAAGGTTCCTGTGTGCATGTGGGGAGCCCTTCAACAGGAATTATTTAATCACACGGTCCCAGGCTCAATTCTTGGCTCTATCTCTAGCTGACCTCTCTGAGCCTCTATTTCCTCAGCTGTAAAGGGGGAGTAGCCATCTGTCTCAGAGGGATGATGGGAGCTGTATGTAAATGAGATGACCTAGGGAAAGCCCCTAGCATAGGGGTGGCATATAATAGGTGATCAATAAATGTCTGTTCCCTCTTCCCACCTTCCCTTAGCAAATATGGGGTTTACGCTGCCATAGCTTCCAACCCAAAGGGTCAGAATTCTGCATCTTTATATCCGAGACCACTTGATGCCCCCCAGGTCTAGACGGGGACCATAGTGGGACAAGAGGGCCTCTCTGTGAGAAGTCTTTCTCCAAGGTGAAACCCCAGTCAGAGGGCCAGTGCCAAAGGGAGGTCCGAGGACACCAGCTTCTTTTAAAACACGGTCACCCAAGGAGGGTGGCTGGGCCAGAGCCCTGGAGCTGACCCGGCCCCGCCCAGACCAGTTTTGCATCGTTTTCAGCAGAAGGGTGCCATGATCTTATCTG